ATTTAGTTGTATACATTCTGCCTTAACAAATCAATACATTTCAGTCCAAATATCAATTCTGTCACAAAATTTGGAACCTCGAGACACAGACCTTTCTGACAATATGTGTTTTGTCAAGATTAGAAAAGGTTTTGATCAAAAATTATGAAATATAATGATGCCCAAAAGGGGAGGAGCCTGATAAAATAATTGAGAGTACTGTTTCTATGGTAAAGCGACCTTCAATTATAAAACGGTTTTCACAGGATGAATTCTGAGTTTGTTAGCTTCAGTGTTGTGTCTCTAAACGTATCATATTTTGGGCGAAGTGAACTGAACGTACTGTTTTACGATACTGTGAACGCGTTCATTCTGGTGTCTCTGAACGCACGCTCTTTGAGCTTAACTTCGTACAATAGGGTGTCAGATTTCTAAAGCCTAGTTCCTGACAAACACACGTAAACAGGCAAAAAAAAACACCCAATTTGGCAACACAAGACACCAGCGTCGCACCGCGGCCGCCGTCGACAAAGCAGCGAGCGAGGAGACGTCGTATATAAACAGGTTATGACGAGGTCGGTGAGGATGGGAAGAATCTTACATTTCTGCGCAAACTGCCCGTCGATAAAATAATTGTTGTCTGTGGTGTTTTTTTTTTTTTTGAAGTATGAACTAACTGAACTAGTTCATTTTAAAATGTGTGAACTGAACTTTGAACTAGTTGGTGTAGAAAGTGCACTTTCCCAACACTAGTTAGCTTTCAAATGATACCTAATTTATGATAACTACTAAAATATGTGATATAATAAAAAGGCGATAAAAAAATATTATATTTTAGAGGATAATATATATTATCATTTTTAGAGGATAATATTATAATATAAATTTTTATTGAAAAACTACTAGATTATATGTTTTATTATGAACTTTTAGCATGAAAACCCAAAGTTTCAATTATTAAAGGTGTGTGTGTGTCAACTTTTTGTGACAGAGGTCAGAACTCCTGTTATGAGGCGCACTCTTGTCAAAAAATCATCGGTTACTCTTCCTACATAGTTTGTAGCAAAAAAACAGCAAATTGAATATAAATTTAGCAGTCTTAGACCTTTCCAACGATATATAGTTTGCCATTATTAGATTAGGATTTAATAGTAATATACCGAAGTAAAGTTAGATCTCCCGTATACGGGATGGTGACAGAAGCTAGTCGTAGAGAGAAAGCGAGGGATGACGTGTCAGAGATGTGTGCTGGATTGAAGGAAGTCATCTGCAGAATGCTAACCTGCTTCTTACAGTAACGCCCTTCCTCCACACACCACTAACCCTCTGATCAATGACATTCAGAAAACACTGCTGCATCAGACACACACACACAACTGTCTAGTGCACTACTAACAATGCAGATGCACAATAAATAAAGCAGTTTTAACTCTCTAATTTGTATGCTTAATGCATATTATGTGACAATACCACTTCAATAACAGAACCAAGGCCACTAATTTACTCAATCTTTTGCATGCAGGAGATGCTGAACTCCAGTAAAACAAGCATCCCGGTCATACCTGAGAGTCCAGTCGGCTGTAAAGGTCCAAATTCTGCATATCCCTGGTCTTTCTTTTCCTCATGCAGCATGCACTGCAACTGATCTCCACACACACATACAGCTTACTCCAGCGATTACAGCAGGGACATCAGCAGCCGTCTCTCGCATGCAAACTTACACTGTGGTTATCTTGCTCTGTCTCTCTCTCACAGGGAGGAACTGCTTCTCATCCACTGCCCGCCTCCTCCCCAGAGGCATGCTGGGAATAAACTGCTGACCTGTCAGAAGAAGCCTGACCTTGTTCTCTTTCTCTTTTGCTTTACACTCACGGTTCTCACCAAGGAGGTCTAACAGACCAGGAGAAAAGTGTCTGTTAGCGTTTCCATTCTCCTCAGTGGCCGAACCACTTCAGCCGAAGATATGACTAATCAGACTAATGAAAATACTGATACACTGTCTATCCTGAGCTGTGACGTCACGGACAACAGACAGGGTCTATTTCACATTATTAACAGCCTTCAAAAAGAAAGAAAATATATGTGTGTGTACCTACTTAACTAGATTTTGTACCCAGAAGTGACCAAAACCTCTCTGGACATCCTCATTACTAAATCTGCTGTAAAAATAAAGTAATTCAAGTTTTTTGAAAATGTAAAAATGCAGAAAGTTTTGTGCGATAGGGGTCACTCTTAGAAGAAATGGTTCTATTTAGAACCAGAAATGGTTCCATCCCCCGCTTCATATATGGAACTCCAAAATGGTTCTATATAGAACCTTTTTTTTTTTTTTTTGGTAAAAGGTTCTATTGGCCAAATACGGAACCCCAGGGTTCTATATAGAACCCAGAGGTGTATAGAACCTTTTAGGGGTTCCAAATATGTAGCGCTGATAGAACCTTTTAAGGTTCTATATAGAACCTTTTCTTCTAAGAGTGAGGGATCGTGTACGGGAGGAGGATATACAGCTTGTACACAGTGTAAAAATGAATACGACTAAACGTGTTAAATCTAATCAATAAAATTGAGGCAACAAATTACAATCAATATTATCAATTAAATTTAACAAATTAGAATTGAGTAATGATTAACCAAATTTATTACTTAAAAGTTAACCATTTAAAATGAGTCAAATTTACTACACAAAAGTTTAGGGAAAACAGACTGACGTCAAAGATGAATTAAGAACTCTTTTTTTAATTGCCATGATTGAAGACACCTGATGTTAACAAGCAGAATCACTGAAGGAGAAAAACTGTAATTTTAAAGGGATACTCCACTTTTTTTGGAAATAGGCTCATTTTACCACTCCCCCAGAGTTAAACAGTAGGGTTTTACCGTTTTCGAATGTATTCAGTCGATTTTTTTTTTGATATTTAGAAGAATATCAGTAACAGTTTCTGGTCTCATTGACTTCCATAGTATATTTTTTTCCTACTATGGAAGTCAATGAGACCAGAAACTGTCTGGTTACTGATATTCTTCTAAATATCAGAAAATCGGCTGAATGGATTTGAAAATGGTAAAACTCGACTGTTTAACTCTGGGGGAAAGGTAAAATTGGCCTATTTCCAAAACAAAGTGGAGTATCCCTTTAAAGTCACCATTATGGTGATCAGTGTGTGTTTAGTTGGGCTCTTGACCCTCAAATCATTGACTTTAGATGTCGTATGGCTGCTATACGTGAATTATAACCAGCCAGATGAACAAATAGAAAAGGTGATCTGATGGTGTTGGTTATGTTTTAACATAATCTTTAATAACACACATAAATCATAATGTTGATTGTAATTGTTTTGAGTCGCATTCATGTTTACAGTGCAGTATAAAACTATTTAACAGTGCAGTATAAAAACCAGACAAACCGTGTGTGTATGGGATAATAAACTTAAAAATGTATATATTTCTTTACAATACAATAATTTTTTTTTTTTACAGTAGTGTTTTCTGTCATCATTTACTAACCCTCATGTCGCCATAAGACTATTGAACATGTTGTCAGTCAGTTTTGGATTAAGAGGTGTTTATTGGAGGGACAGAAATTTCCCTCTCAGACTTTATTAAAAATATCTACAGTCTTATGGGTTTGGAGCTGATGACAGAACATGGTTTATGAACAGGACTACTAAAAATATTTACATTTCCATGCACTTGGCAGATGCTTTTATCCGAATTGCCTAGAAATTATTTCTGCTCACTACTGCACTATGTTGGTTTGTATGTATGCCTGACTGTTAAATAAAAAAAAGAGGTCATCAGAGGTCAAATCCAATTTAGCAATAACTTTCTTAGCAAATTTTCTCTTATATTGTTATGCTTATAATATAAATTGAGAATTATTATAATGAATTTCAAAATAGAAGCATTTTAACGATTGTAATGGTGTGTTATTAATATTTAAACACTAACTGAACTGAAGCAACATAGGTTTACTTGTTTACTTTTTTATTCATACATAATTAAAGTATCAAATATGATACAAAAAAAAAAAAGAAATTATTTCAGTATTTCGGTGGCTGTCCCAGGTCTGGAAAACAAATTTTTAAAATGACATACTATCCTGCATAAAAAAGCAATCCTTCAGCTTTCCCCGCTCCTGTCTGACATTAGTGCAGGCGTTAGCTTGTGTAACACAGATTCAGAACAAACACAGAAGCAGATCAAAAGCTCTCAGGTTCGATTTGAGTGTCATGTGAAGCATTTCACTGATCTTTTGCTGCTGCTCATCTCCTAAAAATGTGCTATCTCCCAAAACAATACATAAATGATTAATTTAATGAAAATCTTCCCAAAAAAAGCCATAATGCTGCATTGTAAGATCAGAGGAGAATGATTTGAAAACACGCTTTAATGCTGCGGTTTATGTGATGTAAATCTCTGATACGCCGCTAGATTACTGTAACTACGCATTGTGGCACTGCTGACATTTCAAGGTCTTTTCTGACTAAAAACATGCAGAAAAGAAGCAAAATGAGCATGTGGTGAGCAGTGTCCTTTGAAAGATGACAGATTTATAACATCTGTGTTATCTATAGACACGAATGCATAAGCTAGTCTTTCCTCTTTTCCAGAATTGTAAAAGGGAAAGGGAGTATTATGGGAGCATTGTTTGAAAGTGTGTGTGTATGAATGAGAATGTCAATGTATCTAAATGTTTGTAATAGTCCTGTGTTGTATTTACTTTATTTATGAATTTCTATTATGATCTTGTTTGTTGTAAAGAAGGGACACCGCGAAAATGAGATGGTTCATCTCAAGGGGCTATCCTTGAAACAAAAACAAAACAAAAAAATTGACAAATAATTTATGCTGACAGAATTTAGAAAAGGATTCCAGGACCATCAAATAAAAATATATCGGCAGTTTTTTTTTTTTTTGTCGATTTAATCCAATTAATCTATGTTATGATCCAGTGTGAGACACAATTATGGCATTATAACAACCATCAGAAAATATGAAGTCTATTAAACATTTCTACTCACCACACTTTGTCTTCTAGGAGAGGTGACCACCTGCAAAAAAACAGATATTTACAGATTATAATTACTAATTCTTCATAAATCAGCACACAGCATTCACACACATTTAGAAAACCACTTCATTATGTTCTACTTTGTGCTATAAATATATCCTGATATTTCCAGGGCCTTTAAAATGTGAATTTTTATTTAAAATTCAGGTTTGCTGACTGTCCTTGTTTGTGCACACGCACAACCTCTCTGAAACATGCAGCGCATATATCATTCAGTTAATTGAGAATCACTGAGCCATTTCACGATGTGTTTTGTTTCCATTAATCATCATTAATAGTAATTATTTTCATGAAACACATGAAAGTTTTTGGTGACAAGAGGTCAAAACGATATAAATACTGTTCGTTTTCTCACACAAACCGCTCGTTTCGTGTCTTAGGCCATCAATGTGTACTTACATTTACGAGTCATTAAATCATGTTTAATCTGGACTTCTCTGTGCATGCTCTTTGAGGTGGTGACCATAGACCTCCATTATATGACTGACAGACAAGAACGGTTTGACCTAAAAATATCAAAATTGAAAATATTGCGGAAACAATGACACCTACAACTTGGATGCCCTTGAGGTGCGATAAAACATACCAAAAAAATGAACCTTTAGTCTAATTACACATTGTTACCTAGTCAACCGTTATCTGAGATTTGTTTTCATGATTGCCGAATGTAAATAGTTTTATCTCTACAAACAGTTTAGCCTACAACGCTAGTATAATGCTAGTATATTGGGCATAGAGTAATGACACATAAAAATCGCTTGTTATTACCACTAAAAAGGCTCAAAATAGCCCCACAGTAACACGACAGCATAAAAAGGGTCCCTACATTCAAACCGAAGCATTGAGAACTTTGTCAGTGTCCAAACAGTTTAATAAGAAGATATTTTATACACACAGTCAACTTCGCGAATTCAGGAAGAAGCCATCTTGGAAAAATAGTCTCTACCAGTCGATCTACGAACGTCGATCCAAGTGCGCTGGTGAGATGTGAATAAGGTGATAAGGTGAGCGCGAACAGCAGGCTACGTGTACATATTGAAGACAAGTAAACGGTTTGGGTTTGTGTTTCTTCCGGAAACAACGGATCATATGAGATTCTGCAGTTCAGCGCACTTGGATCGGCGTTCGTAGATCGACTGGTAGAGACTATTTTTCAAAGATGGCTTCTTCCTGTATTCGCGAAGTTGACTGTGTGTATAAAATAACTTCTTATTAAACTGTATGGACACTGACAAAGTTCTCAACGCTTCGGTTTGAATGTAGGGACTCTTGTTATGCTGTCGTTTTGGTGTGGGGCTATTTTGAGCCTTTTTAGTGGTAATACCAAGCGATTTTTATTTGTCATTACTCTATGCCCTATATACTAGCATTATACTAGCGTTTGGCTAAACTGTTTTTAGAGATAAAACTATTTACATTCGGCAATCATGAAAACAAATCTCAGATAACGGTTGACTAGGTAGCAATGTGTAATTAGACCAAAGGTTCATTTTGCACCGGAGTTGTCCTTTAACCACATACCTTATTTCAGGCAATTTAGCAAAAACCCATTCAAAAAACACTAGACTTTAGGACGAGGGAACCGGAAGTGCTAAAATACTAACTCACTTCAGCGTTTTGACCTACAAACACTTGGGATTCAAAAATACCTCATGCACATTCACAGTGCCATGATGCACATATATATGTTTTGTGTCGTAAAGCATGTTTTTTATTTAGGTCTTATCATATATCTTATGAACTCGTCAGTGGTTTAGCTAAATATTTTCTTAAAAACCTTTTCTGACACAAATATCCGCTTTCTTTTTAAACATGTCAGTTTTGTCCAGAATACATGTAACACATAAATTATTATTTGACATTTTTTATTAAAGAGGAATAGCCCCTTGAGATGAGCCATCTCGTTTTCGAGGGGGTCCAAATAAAAAACTGACCTTACAGCAGCTGGAATTTAACATAACAAATAGCAAAAGCCAAAAAGACAAAAATCAAATCTCAGTCGACAAATAATGCAATCCAGATAATAAATAATAAATACAATAACCAAAATAGACTAATCACCAAAGCATATAAATAAATGATCATGTGAATCATTTAGGGTTCACATAAACACAATGACTCTGAAATCGCATTATTCATTCCGACTGATGGAAATAAGTGCATGTACCTTTTTTATAGCCACACACATCTGCTGTTTTAGACGACATCAAGCAGATTTCTTCTGGATCTAATTTTACACCCGAAAAGGGAGGATATTTTTACCAGAGGAGGTACCATGACATCTTGCCTCTCAAACACAATAATCCTGGATATCCAAAGAGCACCAATTAGTTTTAAAACAATCTCAGAAACCTGCCATACATGCTTAATCTCTGCTAAAGGCCATTACATGAGCATCTCTAGAGGATTATCCAAAAACAGAGGGAGAAGACTTAGAGCATATTTTTGTTCTACTATACACATACATATCAGTATTGACTGAATTCATATCGAGATTACAAGATCTAGACCGATTAGGCCAAACAATACACATAATTGGCTCTCATCTATCTCTGTCTTGAAAGCACATTTACCTGGTTCAGCGTGACCATCGCCATCAACAGATGTATGTCTCTGTTTATTTTCCATAAAGCAATAATAAGCAGCTTTGACTCACGCTGAGCGGAAAATGTTTTTCAGTGTAATCTGAATAATAAAGCTTAGCTTTGTCTTAGCAGAGAGCTTTGAAAAAGCCATCATTATATTGTCCTGTGATACCAGACAACATCATGCGTGCTGAGTTTAGACAAAGTCCTTTTTTTTATAGAAATTGTCTCTGGTTTAGACATTCAATGATAAAATATTCCCTTACACCTTAAAGTTTTTATATCATATCACGTCCTTTTTAAATCAAGAATATAATTAAAAAGTTCAAAATGTATGGTGTTTTAAAGAAAGTCGCTCACCTTAACACACAATTATGAGAGTCTTCATGTGTCCTTTTTATGATGTCATTTCCTGTTTAATTGAGGGGGTTGTCACATGACTCCAAAATGTGAGCATGCATAGTGGTTACACCACTAACTAAAGTTTTAATATTAATAACACTATAAATTACAACAACAAAAAAAATGTTACTGCTATTTTTCCCCCAATATGTATTTTTGGTGATAAAAGATAAGTTTTTAGGGAAACAATTGACTACAGGGAACATTTTGGGTCAGCACTAGATGTTCAACTGAATCTTAAAGCAAAACCAGTAGAGAATCATTACAAAGCATCTGTAAAATGCCTTGACGTCATTGCCCTTGAGCTGTTTTTATCCTATATTTTCATTGAAACCCTATAGATCACGTGATCTCTCACTGCCTGATCTATTGCCCCAGTGTCACAGATAATCATCAGTCACAGTGACTCTCGTAAGATTTGTGAATTAAAATGGCCAGACAGCTGTCGAAACTGTCCTCTAATGAAATCATTAGATCCTGGATTAAACACAGACTATCATCTACAGCAATCTATACTAAAACATGAAATCTAACATTAAGAGATGTGCTAGTTAAAGATGGAGGCAACTATCCCCCAATTTCACACACAAAGCAGGAGTAGTTCACTTAAAAAAAAAACTTTTGCTGATAATTTACTCACCCCCATGTCATCCAAAATGTCCATGTCTTTCTTTCTTTCTTCAGTCGAAAAGAAATTAAGGTTTTTGATCAAAACATTCCAGAATTTTCTCCATATAATGGGCTTCAATGGGGTCCACACCATAGATATCCTTATAAAGGCTAGATGTCTTAAGGCGGAGTTTCTATCGTCATCACCGCCGGCCATCTTGTCACAGGTAAGCTGATGTAAGATGAGTGATCAGCACGGACACAATTACTCTTATCTCGTTGAAATCTTGACGGATTTACAAACGGTTTGGTTTCTTACAAGCATTATTAAGGAGGCTATAATTATCTGGATGATTATTTATTTATAAACTTATTATTCATAAGTATGCTGTGTCATAACTACATCTCTGACGTCAGTTGAAAATCGGTAGAAAATTGAGCAAGTTATGGTTATTTAAATAGTACATGTACCATTAACACAATGTTACGAGTGAGCGAGCTGCCTGTGACAAGATGGCCGCCAGGTGCAGACATCGACCTCCATTGGCCAGCAGCGTGGACGAGATATCTAGCCTTTATATAGATATCTATGGTCCAAACGGTTCAAGATGCGCGTTCGTGACTCTCCTGTTCGAACTTGTTCATCAAAATGAACAAATCTTTTTTCGAGTTATTGGTTAATTCAATGAATAAAATGAACGAAATGACTCGAAAAAAGATTTGTTCATTCGTTCGATGAACGAGTTCGAACAGGAGTCACGAACGCGGATCACAGAACAGAGCAAATCTGTGGTTATAAAACTTAAATTTTTTTATTTATTTTTGAAATGAGCGATCGTTTCGCTTGATAAGACCCTTATTTATCGCCTGGTGTCGTTTAAAGCCCTTTGAACAGTTTGCAGTTTGCACTGAAACTCTCATTTGGACCTTGAACCGTTTGGACCCCATTGAAGTCCATTATATGGAGAAAAATCCTGGAATGTTTTCATCAAAAACCTTAATTTCTTTTCGACTGAAGAAAGAAAGACATGGACATCTTGGATGACATGAGGGTGAGTAAATTATCAGCAAAAGTTTTTTTTAAGTGAACTACTACTTTAAGTCTAGTCCAAGACCAAAATGAACTAGTATGTGAAACTAGTATGTGTACTAGCAGCGTAGCAGATCTATTGTATCAACATTGTCATATCCACCACCATGCCAAACACTCAGAGAGTTCTCATGATAGAAATAGCTCTAGACAGAAAGAGCATCACATCACTGACCCTTAAATCATATGTGCTGAGAATGAGTTGACAAAGCATCCAACAAACAACTCTGAGACCTCAGATATCCCTAATTAAACATGTGCTAAAGTGCTTTAAACCACTAACCTGCTCAGAACTGTTTTAAGGGTCATTCGAAAGCTCCTTTACTGCCAACACTGGATGAATAATGTGATTTGTTCCAACGTGATTAGAGTTGCTTGCATGAATGATTAAACATACACTTTCTACAGCATGTACAAGTCTCCAGCGCACACAAATACACTCAGCGGATCAGGGTTTGGTCCAAAAGGGACTTTGAATCCAATTTTTTTTGCAATATATAATAGTATACTAACATTCTTATTCTTGTTTACTTTATAAAAATTATTAAAGATTTCACAACGCAAAAACGCATGAACCAATAGCTGAAGATTTTACAATTACCAAAAGTATTTTACTTGCTAAAATGCATGAATATCAATCAGGGTTTTCAGCAAACTTATGATCATGTTGATCATTTAGATGCTTTTAAAGAGTTTTTTTTGATACACACATTTCTGTGTATTCTTGCAGTTAATAGTCTGATTTTTATCACATGTACATTGCATTATGTAATTGAAGCCCTTAAAATGATATTTCCTGAAATATATCTTCCTAAACTTATTAGGCACCCTCCTAGATATAAACCACTGCCAAACTTGGACTGCCATTCATCACGTCAAACAAAAATAGAGTCCACTGCAGCTGGACAAGTGCAAATGAGCTCCACGCTCGATCAAACTAGGCCTGTGTGAGCTCCAGCACATAGAAGAAATGGTTCTATTTAGAACCAATGGTTCCATCCCCGCTTCATATATGGAACTCCAAAATGGTTCTATATAGAACCATTTTTTGGGGGTAAAAGGTTCTATTGGCCAAGTATGGAACCCCAGGGTTCTATATAGAACCCAGATGAACCCTTTTTTAAAGAATGTATAGAACCTTTTAGGGGTTCCAAATACATAGCGCTGATAGAACCTTTTAAGGTTCTATATAGAAGCTTTTCTTCTAAGAGTGCAGCTTCATGAGCGAAGACCTGAGCTGTTCACTGCTTGTCAAACCACAAACTAGAGAGGAATATTGTTAGACGTTCTACATTTAAATATGTACATCTGCCCCATTTACACCTGGGAAGTGGTGATCTTACTGAAATTTGATAAGATGAAATTTGATAAAAACCAGGCCACTGGGCCTGGCAAACAGATAATCAAATAATAATATATTAATATAATAATATTACAAAGCATCTGTTAAATGCCTTGACGTCATTGCCCTTGAGCTGTTTTTATCCTATATTTTCATAGATCACGTGATCTCTCACTGCCTGATCTATTGCCCCAGTGTCACAGATAATCTTCAGTCACAGTGACTCTCGTCAGATTTGTGAATTAAAATGGCCAGACAGCTGTCGAAACTGCTCTCTAATGAAATCGTTAGACACAGACTATCGTCAAGTGCAATATATACTGAGAAGACATGAAACGAGCTAAATAAAGACACTAGCTGCTAATAGCACAGTCAGTCATTGACGAACTTCACAGTTATTGAACTAAACTGAATCAACATAATGACACTATTGTCTTACATAGAGCTGCTTTACAGCAGAACTGAACGTGTTTCACAACAGTTATTGAACTGAATCATGACATTATTGTCTGTTTAGAGCTTTACAGCAGAATTTGAATTTGTCTGATATTTGATTTGTACATCATTGATGCTGTTTGTGGTGTAAAGCTGCTTTGAAACAATCCGTATTGTATAAAGCGTAGTAGACTTATATGACCCCTTTTTCCACCCCAAAAAGAAAGAAAGAATCAAGGGTTACTCTTTATGTCTGTGTTACAGTGTAAATATAGGCTACATTTAAGTACAGAGTAATAATAATTAACCATAGGGTTAGGTTTGTTTAGTTGCATGTAAATATGCATAATTTATAGTATTACTGAATAAATAAATAATATTTTGGATAATTAATTCTATTTTAGGACCATTGGCATTATGATGATTTAATAGATTCTCATTACTGTAGTACAGAAAGTTCTACTGTATGGCAAAGTTACTGCAATAACCGAGCGTAATAAAATAAGCCTATTAAAATGAACAAATGTGTGATATGTATTAAATATAAGGCTAATTCGTTTTTCAAGTAGCCTATTAAAGTATTGTTAATTGTCATGAGGGAAAAAAATGCACTTAGGCACAATATCATGTCATTCTGCAAATGTTATGTAGGCTATATTTTTTCCCATGTGCGAGTTTGGTCAAATTCACTCGTGGTATTGAAAATCAACTTTCTTATCAAGATCATCATCCTGTCCAGACTTCTTGAATAAAAATACACATTCATGTTGTTAATATAATCTACGATGAGATTGAACCTGTGGCGAACAGACCCTCGCGCGTCCTGATCTGCAACATGCGAAACACGCGTGACGCCTTCACACTGCAGATGCGCAAAACCCGCAACACGCGCAACGTCAATCTCTCTCGCACACATCCTCTCAATCAGAACATACGATCAGTGATCGGACAGATTCGCTGGTCTTACCGCGGGCAGCAGAGGCTCCATTTGTGCGCCTTGATCCTTCACGTCCATCTTCTGTACCTATGGAACAGAGCTAGTGCGTGTGTGTAGTGTAGTGCGTACTGCGTGATGTGCTCTGCTCACATGTTTAGTGCAGTGCTGTTATCACGAGCTCACTCATAAGGGCGCATCATGTAGCTGCTGTGTGACGCAGTTGTGGGTAGTAGGACTTTAACTCCACAGGGAGGGGGCATTATGTTAAAGTGCCTCACTGCAGGGCCTTATAACACACAATACAGACGTTTTGAACAATTAGGGAAAGGGAGACCAGGACTTGGTCACCTCACCTGGTGGAGTTTGGGTTCTTTGCCACTGTCACCTCTCACTGTAAAAATGAATATGCTTTATCTAATAAAAATAAGTGTGGCAACAGATTACAAGCAATATAATTAATTAAATTTAAGAATAGAATTAGGTAATCAAATTAATTCCTTAAAAGTTAAACTTACCAAAAAAAGTATGTTTAACTCACCATTATGGTGATCGGTGTTTGTTTTAGGGTTGTTTGTTCCTTCAGTGATTCTGCTTGTTGACATCAGATGTCTATAAAATAAAGATAATGTAAAATAATTAATCTTTGACCTCTGTCTGTTATTCAGATATTTTTTGGTGTAAACTTTACTCATTTTAAATTGTTAACTTTTAAGGAAAAATGTGATTAATTATCACTCAATTCTAATTTGTTCTCAATTTAATTAATAATATTGCTTGCCACAATTTTATTGATTAGATAATGCATATTCATTTTTACAGTGCTGGCTTGGGGACATTTAATATTCAGTGTTATATTTATATTAATGTTCTCATTCAGTATGAGAACTGTTACATCATTTTTCGCAGAACTGCTTCAGATTAATTGAATAATCGGAACTGAATCAACTGAACTGACTTCAACAGCCCATGCATCATCTTCCTGTAAAGCCGCTTTGAAACAATGTGCATAAAGCACTGTATAATTAAAGATTGTCTTGGTCACATTTGTCTGGAATGGGCAGGAACTAGGAGGTTTTTGTCTTAAAAGCCAATATGCTTATTTGAACACTTTGTTGGCTAGTTCACCCAAAACTAAACATTTTGTCATCAATCATTCGCTCACTTTTTTTCAAATGGAACACAAAAGGTGATTTATGGTGTTTTTGTCCATTTGAAAGTTTTTGAATATAGTTTTTGAATATTTAGTTATGTCATATTATTACATTTGTGTGTAATGCACCTAATGCTTTCTTCGTTACAGCGATTCTGATTTTCTCAGAAACAGTCTTGATGATCAGTGCAGTGGTTTTACTGTAAGAGTCAAAAAGGTCCAGCTACCCTTTAAAACCTGCCATCTGTGCCTGCACTCTGGGTGAACTTATTTAGCTAAGCTGTTATTATAAGAATAAAAAAACTTCCTGGACCATGTTTAAGCTGCTTTTTACATTTAAGTTAAACTTTTATATTCTATTTTTACTCCATTGTTTTCAAAGCAAGTATCATGTGCACAAATGCTACACAGGCATCAACACATTTCTTCATCATTTGTCTTGTGCTATCTTTCTTTTAAATGAATCTAATGTGATACAATGTATATATATATATATATATTTTCTTATGGATTATCCCAATGCTTTTTGGGCTGCTTCTCACTTGTGCACATATTTTTCTAATATTCTTATATGTAAATAATTTATTGTATAGTCTACACATGTTGTATATAATTATATCGTAGCATAATGTTTAATCACATCACGCTAAATAACAATGCAAGTGTCTCGTTTCATCTTTACGACGTTGTCGCCATCTGGCGTTCGTAGTTGTGTGATACATGTTTAAGGGTTTACAGCGATTGAATTGATTAGTACTAAAATATCTATGGCTTTCTCCTCGGACATCAGACTTCTGAAACGAATAATGAATATTACGTTAATCTCACAATTATATATTGGAACTCTAAAAAACTCATTTAAAAGGTTGATTTATTTACTAGGCAGCCTATCACTGAACCACAGGGAGGCAGCAAACTATCAAAAAGCATACAGGATTTCTGAAATCAGAATAGGATAAAACAATACTGTGTTTCTGTTTTTGTAATGCAGGGGGAAAGTAAGAGTAGTATGAAATTGATATGCTATTCTGAATTCAGCCAAATGATTCGCTAGTATCAGCCCACCACAACACTGCAGGTGTCTGACGATAATTGAGCTGATTATTTGAAGGAATAGCCTATATTAAACTAAATAAAGAGCTATCTAATACCAGAGTAAAGCACATTTTGTCCGTCTCCCTTTTCTGAACCATTCAGTCCAGGTCTTGTCTACGCAGTTGATGAGTTATTCACATGTAAAAAAATAAATGTGCAGTATACCGGGCTATTGAAGACCAGGATTGTTTTATAACATGGACATCTGATAGACATTAATCCAAGTTGATATTGTAAAATGCTCTGAAATGTATGTCACAGAATAGTGTTAAGTCTGCTTTTGGCAATAGTCGAGTGCTTATTCACATTGCATATTTATATAGACGTAAATGAACCGAAATGGATTGATTTGTTTGATGTCTTAGATTGTGTGCAACATTTAGCCTACTACAGTAGCCTCAAAAGGTATTTGAATGCAAGTCGCAATTAAAAACATCTGAATATAAATTGCATTAGCCTATATAAAATATCAAAATAACTCAATCAACATCAACTGAACTAACTTCCATTTCCTGGGCCTTTTTGCTATGAATTTTACCTAAATGGTACCAAGGTTGATCGTGGATGTCAACATTCATTTTGACATGTAGGCTATAGCTTAATGACAGTGTTGTCCATTTAAATCATATACTTCAAATGAATCAGTTAACTGAAAAAGTCTATGCAGTGTCTATATTCACAACCCCCATTTAAAAAAAAAAATACAAATCCATGAGAAATCCAAATTTCATGAGGACTGGTTAATTTCTGGCCAGGATATCTTTCAGAGTAAATAGATGTAGCTGACCACTAACATCTGATCTAACAATCAGAAAGTGTCCAAATTTAACTTTGAATCCCTTCATCTGAAATAATTTTTCGGTTGGCTATGCCTGCCACTTGGTTTGATAGCCTATTTTGTTAAAAGCAGTGAAATTGATACATTAAGCATCTGATTTGTTTACCTTTTGGACTACTGTGTATATTAGTATCCTTTCCCCCATCTAAAATGACAGTCGAATTAAACAAGAAACCAATAGAAAACCAAAAAGGTTGTTCATGGGCGGTTTGCTTATATTTGTCGCATTGCATGACTACATTTTATTATGAAAATGCATCGCACAGGCAACAAAATTCACATTGTCACTGGCATTATCGTTATATATACGGCTCTAAGACAGGTAGAGGAAAATAGAACAGAAATATTTGGTTTTGAAATCAGCTTAGTTGGAATCCTGTGTACGTCACCCGGGTTTCACATTCGGTCATATTTATTGCAATTAAGCACACCACAATTACATTACCTTTACACATTAGCAGGCCTAGCTCGCGTATTTTCTCATGAGAAAACAGCCCATAAAATACAAATGAAAATGTTTGGGTTAGTTGTAATCGTGAAGTGATAGTCTATATGTTTGACTACAAAAAATGTAATGGGATTTACGCTGGTGCAGTTAAAAACATGTTCTGAAAACTTTACAACAACATTCACAAAATGAAACTACGAACTATGATATTTACGAACAGACGACGCGACTCTAAAAAGCAACATCAATATAAGCTCATATAAAAAACGACCTCTGAAAGACACGCGTCCGCCATATTTATTTCCTGTCAGAGGAAATCTTCTTGGCGGGCTCTTCCACTGGTAAGCAGCTACTTCCAATTCAGTCAGATCCATATCGTTTCTGTCATAACCGGGAACCTACATAAGTTGTAGTATTCTTATTTTTTCAAACATCAAAATATTTAATTTATGTAGCTATTCGAAGGAATCAACAGTTCTAAGTACATTAAACATATAGGCTAAACCTAATCAGGTTTTCTATATTGTACATCAACGTTCAACGAGAAAAATCACAAATGGATAGATAAATACAGTTATGTACAGTTACTTTCATACTTACAATAGGTTTGACAGTTAGAACCTTAAAATGTCATTTGGAAACGAAAACATCTCAAGCTTATGTGTCAAAGTTTTTTTCCGTTAAAAACGCGACGCGATTGATGACGTCATTGGAACGAGACGACCGAGATCGGCCGGATATATGAAGAAATAAATAAATCAATAAATAAGCACATAAATAGATTGCAAGTCACTTGTGAATCCTTATGAACACACGAGCCATGCATTAGTTGTTCCGAGTTTCTAACTGTGGGGGTAAAAGCTGTAGTAGCCGATGTCCTTGGAGCAGTTTTTCTCGCATTCCCTCGGCGTCAACATTTCAGATTTTAATGGAGACGATGTCTCTGAAACCGGCGTGGCAGATGGCGAAATCCTCCTCCGCTTGGCTTGCTCAAAAATCCCAGAATCGCTCGAATCGATCGACTTAATTGAGGACGGGGTTTCTATCCAGCTGGATTCGGACAGGTCTTTGGGTTTGGACTCATCCGCCCCGCCTAGCGGTGACCTCTCGGGCGCGATGGCGTCTCCGTCGTCGAGGCCAGGGACCAGGTAACTGGAGGAGCTCGTCCTGCTCCCCACGGAGTTGGACGGCCAGCACGACAGGACAGAGCTGGACTTGCTGCAATATTGCGGTGGTGTGCGGGTGCCCCACCCCGGCGGCTCGCCGTAATACCCCAGGGGTCTGTTGGAGCACCCGGCCCCGGGCAGGGGCAGCGCTTTAACTCCGGCAGCTGCGTACGACAGAAGGGTGGCCGCGTTACCGGCGAAATCAGCAGCCGCTGCAGCATCGTATGCCGAGGCGGCAAAGTCCAGTCGGTTGTTGGCAGGGGTGACAAACCATCGCTGCGGGGAGGCCACCGTGGTGTCCTCGGTTTGTTGCGGGGAGAGCAAGCTGTTACTAAGTGGGACGCTGCGGTCCGTGCCAGGAGCGCCTCCGACGCCAGGGTGAAAGCGGGACTTGGCATACGAGCTGACAAATTGGTCCTGCAGGAAAGAACCAGTCATGGCATATCTTGCGCCAGGCATGATCTGGGAGCGTGGAGAGTCACCCGGGGACGGCGTCAACCGATCGATGTCGCACC